GGGGTGCGAATAGTAGTGCTTTAGAAACAAACGAAAGCGGTAAACATAAAAAGTGCGAAGGGACTTACATCAGAACCGGTGAAAACGAGCGGAGCTTAAGGGGGGGGATTTTGGACTATTTCTTGTTTATAGGCCAGCACGTAAATTATAATGCGACATATCCTTAAAACCGTTGCGTGGTCTACGAAGCGGGTCTTTATGCGTTGTGGTTTGGGCTGTAAATTAAGTCAACTATACCCTTGAACATGTTGGTCAGCTTATCTTGAACGAAAACGGCAACAGCGGATGTCCGTCATAGTTTCTTTTGCTTCATTTCACATTATTATTATGATCCCCATGCTTCGTGCGGAGACAAAAGGATTCTTTCAGCACAGCGACATTTATGTCAGACGAAGAATGATATAAATCATGATGCGAACCTTTAATCATGCTCGCCTTTCTAACGTTTGTGTGTGTACGTTTTACCGTTGGTCATTAACCGTGTGGACATTGAACCAAAGGCATTTGGTCGAGCTGATGCTTTGGAGGTTAAAACGATCTTTAATTTTCTTTTGGTTAAAATATTTCGGCCGTTCACTGTTTTATGTTTTTCATAGTCAAAGTCTTCTTCAAGGTCGGGATGGAAAGGAGACGAGGAAGAAGAAGAGTAATTGTAATAAATAATAATAACTGTTAACTCGTAGTTGATGCAAAAGACCAGAGTTCGATTCCCGCGTTGAAAGAATTTCTATCGATCGAGTATCTCGATCTTTCTGCTTGGATGTTGTATCCTTCTCAGCACGAGTTGGCCCTGGCTGGCAGGGTCAAAGCAGCCCGCCTCCTAAATTATCTAAATCGTTTCTATGGGGGCGTTAAAAACTGACATTGTAAAAGATGGCACCTATGATAAAATGTATAGTGGAGTAAGTTATTTAATCCGTAGATAATGTTCTTGCTAATTTCTTGGGATGCTGCACTGCAAAGTATTGTTGCTGCTTTTTGCTTCTCTCTTATTATAATCTGCAAAGAAATTGTTTTCAATTTGTCTATATTTCTTATGTGTTCATATTTGTATGTTGAGAAGAAAAAAAAAACAGAGAAAGAGAGAGAGGGTCATTTTGAGACGAAGAGAGGGGGG